ACCTCCTCCATCAAGGCCACGCCTCCTAACCTTTTTCAAAAAGCCCCACCACCTGGGGACCAAGAGAGAAACCTAGGACCCTATGGAGGCCACTCTCCTTCAAACCATCTTGGGCACAACTTCTCCCTCATTTACTCCCAGACAACCTCCTGAATAGCCTGGCCACTGATGAAATAAATACTTTGCTATTCCACGGGGCATTTTTTTTTTTCTTTTTTTTACTTGAGGGCTGTACTCAGACTTGACCGGTAGCTTTGGTGCTTGTTTGGGCTCTTTCCCATTGCTGAGGAACTTTCCACTCTGGGGTCCTTACTGATCTAGACTTGTAGAGTGGACCTGAGATTCTCAAGCCTCCACAACATGGTAGGGGCCAGTCTCTCCCAAGTGAGGGGAACTGAACACTCTCCCGAATAAGTGTGAAATCCAGGACCTATCCCATCCTAATCATTAGAAACATCCAATAATCTCGGTGTTGCACAAAGGCACACACAAACAAAGTGTGTCCTCTCGGGTAGGTAAGTCTTTGGGTACATAAGATGTGTCAGAACCTAATCCAGCCTAGAAACACCCTGGGGCCAATAAACAGTACCCCCAAACACGCATGTTATCTCTGAAGTACATGGTGAACTGGACCACATCCCCTAGGTGGGAACTTGCACTCACAATCTGCTGTGACTGTTTCCTGGGCACAAAGAGGTAGGGGGAGGTTCAGGAAGCATGAGTCCTTTCTGGGATTTGTTGACCTCTATTGTTGTTTTGTTCTGAATAACATTTCTCACTCTGACCACAGAGGGAGAGTTTTGAAAGAAGTACTTTATTAGGGGTTGCTAAAGACAGAAGATTTAGGAAGCGCTTCTGTACAGCAGGCTGTGTGTCTGATAGTGTGATACCGTGGAGCCTCCTTGCCTTGGAGTTGATAAGATTTCAGTGGATGGAGGAAGGCAATGTCTGGGAATGATCTGGTCAGTCCAGTTCTCACTCCTGCTGTTCAGGCGCCTTGTAGTTTCAGTCAGTGTGGTTTCCTTGAGAAGACACTCCTTGAGGGGAAAGTGAAGAGGAAGAGCTGGAGCCCATGGTTGACTCGGCCCATCTCAGTCCACGGCAGAACCAGAGCCATTTTGTTGTAGACACTCCTGGCGTTTCTGGTCTTTGGCAAGTTTGAGGCCTGTGACAGGCCCCCAAACACTTCCAGCTTTTACCAAGGAAAGACACTGTCCACTTTTCTTGGGATCCTTGCACCCTCAACTGCCTAGCCAATCTCTCCCTCCTGCTTGCCTCAAGACCACTGTGTGGTGCCTACAGCTGGTTTGGCTTTCCCCTGTCCTGATCTCTTGTGCCCCTCTTCTGACAGCAGCGGGCATTATCGCATGACCTGTTGTTTTCCACCCAGATTCTAATAAAATTTTCCAAGGGCTTCCTTCTGAGCATGTGTATACAAACACACACACACACACACACACACACACACACACACACACACACACACACACACACACACACACACTAACCAGAGTAAGACTGGAAAGAAGAAACCTTTCTCTCCCCAGAAATGGAGATAATCTTTGTAGGAAAGCAAGCAGGAGAGCCGAGAATCAGAGCCCAGCTGGGAGACTTTGACTCTGCACCACTGACCCCAGTGAAGCTCCTGTGTGACAGACAGCAGGAGTAACTGTAAGGAAGAGGCTGCTCCTCACACACACTAGACCTGCAGGACAGGAAGCTCTCCTGGTGGGAGACAGAGTGCCTCCGGAACAACTACAGGAAAGGAATGACCAGCCCCGAATCTGTCCACGTGCCAGAAGAGGACAGACTCTGTGGGCTGCAGAGACCCAGGGCTCTGGCCTGCCCCTCCCCGACACAGCACCAAGCGGTACCTGTTAGAGCCAGCTGACTCTCAGAACTTCCCTCTTAAGCCAGAGCAGCTGGACCAGCAATGCTCTATACACCCACGGGTTTCTGCTGTTCTCAACCTTGGCCAAAGAAGCTGCTTTTGGCAGCGGACAGTGACTCATCCCTGGTCAAACTGCTGAGAATAAGTGACCCTTGGGATGTCAGCCCTAAATGGGATATGTGTATCAGGCCCCACCCCCACCCCCACCCCCACCCCCACCCCAAAGGCTCAGGGAACATGACAGAAGCAGAGACAGCAAGAGTGTCCTAAGTGGAGGATGGGGAAGAACACTGTGGCATGGTGTCTCCTGCACATGACATTTGGCCACAGCACTCATGAACTCACAGCAACTTGTGAGGAGACCTGGACAGGAGCATGCCAGTCACTTTTCCAGCACAGGTTGGGGGAAGAGGCTCAAGAGGCCAGTCTCCTTGCAGAAGAGCTATTGGTAGTTGATGGATGTTAGGGGCAGGGAGAGCCATTTGTCTTCAAGAGTGTGGCCTGTGGTAGATCGTGGTAGACCGCCCAGGCTCAGGTGGTTGGTTCCATACCCACGTGCATCTGGGCAGTACTAAAAAGCCTAGTGTATGACTTTTTAAATGATTTTAAAAGAAAATCTGACGAGGACATGAAGGTGGAAGGGGCCGTTTGTGCCTGGATGTGGGGGTTTGGGGGGCTCCCAGTGGGGAGTGGTAGGAGGCATTGAGGGTGGATGTAATCAAGATACATTGTATTATATAGGTAGGACATTTTCAAAGAGTAATTATAAAATCCACCTTTAACATTTTTTAGAGTGTTTTGTTTTTGTCTTAGTGAGACAGTGTTTCTCTGTGTAGCTTTGGAGCCTGTCCTGGAACTCACTCTGTAGACCAGGCTGGCCTCGAACTCACATTGATCCTCCTGCCTCTGCCTCCCAAGTGCTGGAATTAAAGGCACGGGCTACCACCGCCCGGCCATTTTGTAGAGCTTTATACATAAAAAACATTCTTAATAGAAAAGATCTTACAAAGAGGAGAGTCAGGCATTAAGCATACATCAGTCATTCAATACCGAAAAGGAGTATCACCACCCAATCACAATCCTAGAGTCACAAAGGAGCCTTCCGTTGTATCATCTTATGATGAACTGCTAGCTTAAACCGGGTAGAAATGGGTCCAGAATGGCCAAGACACTCTTTATACCCAAATATCTTGTTTGACACTATTGGTCCGTATGATCATGACAGTGAGGCCTTTAAAATAGATTGGTAGTGCCATACATAGTTCAAATACATAAATAAAATATCCCGGCACGGCACGCCGAGCATAGACACCACCAGTCCAGGCATATAACGATGATCCTCGATTTGTGGTACACATGGTAGTTCAAACGGCCTGGAGAAGAATGGCCTTGTCGATACCATATGTGGTCTGCTGAGAAAATTAGCTATCCCTATGCAGAGAACCCTACTGGATATCCTACACAAACTTCATGTAGATAAAGACCTGACTGTAAGAGGCAAGAGCATTTAGAAGGCCACCCAGAGTCTATGTTTTGGGCATTTCCTTCCTCCCTGCTTCCTGCATTCTGTCTTCCTTTCTCCTAGGGATCAAACCCAGGGTCCTGTGGATGCTTGGCAAGTGGGACCCCACAGAGCTGTTAGCCCTGGCTCCAGAAACTCATTCTAGTTTGTGTTTGTGTTTACTTTTTACATTGACATGCAAAGTATCAGCTTCAATGATGGCTCTCCCTTGCATAACTTCTTTTCCTAGTTTCTCTGACTCCTCCTATCCTTTCTGGCCTTACTGCCTGCCCTGCCTGCACCTCCAGCCTCACACTCTCTCACCCCAGTAGTCCCCTTTCTGCTTTCAGATCACATGTGTTTATCAATCACCCACCCAGCCCACCTCAAGACCTCTATTTTCCCTCTGTGGATCCCCCCTGTAGTCCAGAAACTCTTTCTTAGTACAAGTATCTATAAAATAAAAACCCTAGCCATGAGGCGCTTTTTTTTTGTTTCCATCTGACTCTAATAGTACCAAGATTCTCTCCTATTCACACAGCACAGTACACAGCAGGTGCAAATGCAAGCAGCAAGGCCCTTAAAGGAATACTGTGTCCACACACGTGGACTGGCATTTAAATTTATACCTCGTTCAATCAGCGATCACAAAATGGGAAACGGAACCTAAACAGCTTAAAGGAGTTCAATTTGTACCAGGCCTGGCACAGAAGAGCCAAGAGATTCAGAAGTGTGAGAATATGCGAAAGCTTCCTAGTAACCTGAGTGTCAAGCCCCTTCAGATGGAAAAATTCTTTTCCTGTTTGGTGTACCCGGGGCAACGGGATTGGTCTGTGTTGCTGGTGGGAGTGAAGATTGTCACGGAGAGCACGTTGGGCCAGCCTGAGCTACATAGTGAGGTCCCATCTCAGATAACACCCCACAAATTAAATAGCCCAAGTCGTCATTGTGTGTAAAGCTGGAGCTATGCATAAGTCACAGGGCAGCCGGGGATTCTGTTTTTGGAGGTATGCTCCAGAGAGGCTTTTACAGGAGTCTTCTGTGATTAAGATACAAACATGCTCTTGATAATAGTGAGAAAAGAGCCTCACTGCCCATTTCCTGTAGGGTGGCGGGACATCACCACCGCGCTCTAAGCATCTGCCTGAATGCTAGTCAACAGTGGCGAGGATTTAAGCTATAAGGCCCTTATAGGCAACGTGGGTGGGTCTGTCGCGCAAGAAGCTAGCCGCAGAAAGAAGCCTGCGGTATGGTTTCAACTACCTAACTCCATGTAAACCGCATTGTTTTGAGGATGTGTGTACCCTAAAGCGTTCCGCAGGGAGAACCGGGGAGCTGGCTGGATTTTCCAGATTTCATTATCAATCGCTTCAACTACCAGGTCTCACACCCATAGGCCGAAGGGTGCCAGCCTGTTTTGGTACCGTTTCTTATTTTGACTCCTGTACCAGGAGGTCAAAAGCCTAACCGCGTGAAACATTTTTACCCAGGACTTGGCTCACGATAACTAATTTCTGAGTATTACAAGGTGTGTGTGTGTGTGTGTGTGTGTGTGTGTGTGTGTGTGTGTGTGTGTGTGTGTGTGTGTGTGTGTGTGTGTGTGTGTGTGTTTGGAGCGGGCATCTGCACCAGAAACGGTAGCGTTAAGGAAGTTTATTTAGTGCGGGCAACATAGTTTCCCCTGTCCCAAGTTTTGTCCTCCGCCCAGCAGTAAACAACTTCCAACACTTGAGAAGTGCCAGGGAACACGCTCAGCTCCCGGGGAGGCCGCGATAGGTTTATTTGCTCCCCACAGTGAGGTAGGAATTCAAGTTGTTTTCATTGGCTAGGTGTCTAGGGGCCTCAGCAGCCTTCTGGACCAACTGTCATTCTCCTGCCTTCAGTTCGGAAGCCCTCGATTACTTTGTAACAAAAGTGTGCAAGTTATTTCTCCGCATCAGACTCTGCCTCTGGGCTGTCTCTCCCGTTCCAGAGCCACGGTACCAGAATATTTAAATCACTGTGGCGTTAAATACGTTTTAATATCTGATAGGGCCAGTTTCTGCGCATTGCACTTTTTTTTTTCCTTTCAGGAACGTGTTCGGGCCCGCGGCAGGGGGCGGGGGTCGCGCCTCCGCCTCGGCTCTGGTTCCAGCCGAGCCTCACTGACGCCGCCGAGATGGAAATCCCGAGGCTGCTCCCCGCTCGCGGGACACCACAGGGCGGCGGCGGCGGCGGCTGCTGCCCCGCGGGTGGCGGCGGGGTCCACCGAGCCCCGGACTCTCTGGCTTGTCAGGCCCCCACGCGCCGCCTCCTACTGCTCCGGGGGGCCCAAGATGGCGGGCCGGGGCCGCGGAGCGCAGAGGCCCAGAGGGCCTCACGGGGCCTGGGCCCGAGCCCCAGCACGAACCGGTTGGCGCCCAGGCCGGATCACCCGAGCCGCGGCGACGGCGACGGCGGCGGCGGCGGCGGCGGAGGAGGAGGAGGAGGAGGAGGAGGCGGAGGCGGCGGCAGAGGAGGAGGCGGCGGCGGCGGCGGCGGCGGCGGCGACGGCGACGACTTCTTCCTGTTGCTGCTTGACCCGGTGGGTGGCGATGTAGAAACAGTGGGCTCGGAACAGGCCGGAGGAGGAGGAGGAGGAGGAGGAGGAGGAGGAGGAGGAGGAGGAGGAGGAGGAGGAGGAGGAGGAGGAGGAGGAGGAGGGCCGGTGTGGAGGGAGGAGGCCGAGGCAGGCCCGGGGCCCGAGCGGCGGCGCGAGAGCGGCGCGAACCCCGCGGGGCGGCCCGAGCCGGGCCCCCGCTGCCTGTCGGCCGTCCCGGCTGCGTCGCCGCTCCCCGCGGCGGGCCCGGGCGCGGGCCCCGCGGCGGCCTTCGCGGGCACCATCACTATCCACAACCAGGACTTGCTGCTGCGCTTCGAGAACGGCGTCCTCACCCTGACCACGCCCCCGCTGCCGGCCTGGGAGCCGGGGGTCGCGCCTTTCCCGCAGCCGCCGCCGCCGCCGCCGGGGGGACTGATCGCCCCGCAGGCCGGGTTTCCGCCCGCCGCCGCGGCGCAGCTGGGCGACTGCCCCGAGCTGCCACCGGACCTCCTGCTGGCGGAGCCGGCGGAACCCGCGCCCGCCCCGGCGCCTCCGGAGGAGGAGGCCGAGGCCCCGGCCGCCGCCCAGAGCCCCCGCGGGCCTCTGGTCCCGGGCCCGGGCGTGGTGCTGTACCTGTGCCCGGAGGCGCAGTGCGGACAGACCTTCGCCAAGAAGCACCAGCTGAAGGTGCACCTGCTGACACACAGCAGCAGCCAGGGCCAGCGGCCCTTCAAGTGCCCCCTGAGCGGCTGCGGCTGGACCTTCACCACGTCTTACAAGCTCAAGAGACACCTGCAGTCGCACGACAAGCTGCGGCCATTTGGCTGCCCGGTGGAGGGCTGTGGCAAGAGCTTCACCACCGTGTACAACCTCAAGGCGCACATGAAGGGGCACGAGCAGGAGAACTCCTTCAAGTGCGAGGTGTGCGAGGAGAGCTTCCCCACGCAGGCCAAGCTCAGCACCCACCAGCGCAGCCACTTCGAGCCCGAGAGGCCTTACCAGTGTGCGTTCTCTGGCTGCAAGAAGACGTTCATTACTGTGAGTGCCCTGTTTTCTCATAACCGCGCCCATTTCAGGGAACAGGAACTCTTTGCCTGCTCTTTCCCTGGCTGCAGCAAGCAGTATGACAAGGCTTGCAGGCTCAAGATTCACCTGCGCAGCCACACGGGAGAGAGACCTTTCCTTTGTGACTTTGACGGCTGTGGCTGGAACTTCACCAGCATGTCCAAGCTCTTAAGACACAAGAGGAAGCACGACGACGACCGCAGGTTCACCTGTCCCGTGGAGGGCTGTGGCAAGTCCTTCACCAGGGCCGAACACCTGAAAGGCCACAGCATCACCCACCTGGGCACGAAGCCTTTCGTGTGCCCCGTGGAAGGCTGCTGTGCCAGGTTCTCCGCCCGGAGCAGTCTCTACATCCACTCCAAGAAGCACCTGCAGGACGTGGGCACTTGGAAAAACCGTTGCCCCGTCTCCACCTGTAACAAACTCTTCACGTCCAAGCACAGCATGAAGACCCACATGGCCAAGAGGCACAACCTCAGCCAGGACCTCTTGGCCCAGCTGGAAGCCGCCAACTCCCTGACGCCCAGCAGCGAGCTCACCAGCCAGGGGCAGAACGATCTCAGTGGTGCAGAGCTGGTGTCTCTCTTCTCCGATGTGCCTGGCCACAGTTCTGCTGCGGTGCTGGACACGGCCTTGGTCAATTCTGGGATCTTGACTATTGACGTGGCCTCTGTGAACTCGACTCTCGCGGGAGGTCTCCCTGCCGATGATAATAACCATTCCTTAGGGCAAGCGGTGGACCCCCGGGCCCTGAGGGCCCCCAGTGACCTTCCCCAGAGTCTGGATACCTCTCTCTTCTTCGGAACCTCGGTGACTGGTTATCAGCAGAGCCCCTTAGACATGGACGATGTCTCCGCCGGAAACGTGGGGCTCTTTGGCTCCTTGGCTCTGAAAAACTCAAGCCTGGAGCCCCAGGTTTTGACGCCCAGCAATAAGTTAACCGTGGACACGGAAGCTCTGACCCCCTCCAGCACCCTCTGTGAAAACAGTGTCTCCGAACTACTGACCCCTGCCAAAGCCGATTGGAACGTGCATCCCGAGGCTGACTTCTTTGGGCACGAGGAAGAAACCCAGTTTGGATTCTCCAATCCAACAGGAAGCCATGGTTCTCAGAAAGAAACAGATCTGATCACGGTGACTGGCGCCCCCTTTTTGGTATGAACCCACTCTGCCTGTGCCCTGCCTTGTGGCTCACTTTTATGACGCTCCAATCTGAGGATGTTCGGGATGGAGTGCTTACGTGCAGTCGTTTCTTGCTGCCTCGCGAAGGAACGCGTCTGTGGACTTCAAATTTAGAGATTTAAATTCTCATCCCGAGTCTGGAACTGATGAGTTCTGTGACCGTGAGCAAGTCTCTTAACCTAGCTGAGCCTTAATTCAATATTTATAAAAGTAGGCATTTTGTCTAGATTGTTTCTATTTCCTTTTCAACTGTATTTCCATTATTTGTACTCCTTTGGCATAATTTTTTAGAGTATTTTATAGTGGTTACATATGATTCTAATGTAATGAAAAGGGATTTGATCCCTTTGAACATTAAATGATCAGTGATAGATGAACTGGTGTTTTTAACTTTTAATATGAATCTTACCTCATTTCTATAATATCCGTAATATTAGTAGAGTGCAAAAATGTGGAATATTATTTGGGTGTTTGATCTTTTGTCAGTTTTCTTGTGTTGTATTTCTATAGGAGGTTTTAATTTTTGGAAAATGTCAGGGTTTTGATATATTTACAAGCATATTCTAAAATATTGCCTCATTAACATTGAACAAGTGGCCTTATATTAGTCATTTAGTCTTGCTGAGCCTTACTTTCCTAGCTTTACAATGGTCATAGAAATGCACATTATTCTCGTGCATTTTGAATTTTTTTTTATGCTTGGGATTGTTACTAAAGGGAAAATACATGTTTTGGCTTTTGTGAATCTTTAGTTTTCTTGCCTCCGTGTTTCCCCTCTTAAAGTCTTAGACAACAAAAGTTAGCAAATGTTTATGTCATAGTTTTGCAGCCAGTAAAAGTTTATGAGCATTAAGTATACATGGGATTTTGTTCCTTCCACAGATTGTGGAGGACTTTCTCTACAGAGTTCTTATTTAACATTGATCACAGTTCTGTTTGTCCAGTTCACTAGTGTTTGCTCTGAATCAAAGCCAGTTCTTGGCCTGATTCTACTAATTCAATAAAATTGAGGAATGGACCAGAAGGAAATGTTCATTTCTGTGTCCTGGGGCCCTCATTCCTAGCCCTCTCTGGAATAAGAGGCTTGCTGTGCATTTTGAAACACTGTCAATTTTAACACGAATATAGCATTTTATGATTTATATAGAAATTTCTTATCTAATATATTTGATCATCATAATCTTGATGAGAAAGTGTGAACTTCAACCGATATTAAAGCTTTCCTGACCTATGACAAATGGAGTTCACTTAGTAAATATATTTGTAGTTCAAATCAAGGAGGAAATATTTCTACCTCTCCCATTCTGCTCTTCTGAATTCCCGGATCATTTTGCTTTTGAGCAGTTCTTTTGTTCCTCCTAAGTATGTACTGGTACCCTTATGCTGTTGTGCTAAAACCCCCTTACTGTAGTCCCTAGTATATGCACCCGTCTGTGCCACGCTTCTACCTATTTCCTTAATTAGACACTTCTTTGTGATCACCCCCTCTCTCTCAGATGATCAAATTTTATTCACAGTAATTACTGCAGTCAGTGTATGCACTGAGAAGGTATTTTCTGAATCCAGATTACAAGTGTGTTTGTAGGAGTCAGATGATAATGGGGTTATTTTTTTTCTATAAGGTCTGATGACAATTACCTCTCTAAATTTGTTCACCATGTTTTCTACTAGCAAATAGTTGTTCTGAACCACTCAAATTCAATACTGTTTTCATGAGGATACTTGAGGAAAAGTTTTTATAGTACCTTGGCAATATATAATTTGCCACTTTGAAATGAGTTATATACTATCTTTATAATTTGTAAATTGGTTGAACCTATTCAGTGAAAAGGTAAAAAGCAGACAATAATTTGTAATTTAAAGAAGTAGTCAGAGTTTTTGTGTGTCCAAGCGTCAAGAATATTATTCTCTTAGCACTTTGAAAAGATTTTAAGGACTCTTTTAGAAATGTATTTTCACAAGTTAAAACAAACATTTCTCATTTTATTTTGCAAGGACTGCAAAGGCCTGAGGTAAACACAGTTCATAAACAGTTATTAAGATATATAAGCATAAAGATATTTTAAAGTGTCACTGTTTCTTTTACATTTCTTCCAATTAAAGATCATAATAAAATATTCTTACCTATAGTCTGTAGAATTTCCAAAGTATAAATTTTACCTTCTTGATGATAAAAATCATGTTATCCTTATGATTTCTCTACAAACACTGTCCTAGCATGGGGGTGGAGTGACGGTAATTGCAGTCAGAAATGGGACTACTAGCATAATGGCTGTGTTTCTGTTCTTAACATAAATTTGACATTTTTAAAATGATGAGTCATGAGTTTTATCTCCTTTGCCTTTTGTGTTTTTTCATTCTTTCTTGATTTATTAAAATTTGCCAATTTAATTGTTAATAATAATGTCTTATAAGAAAGTTGTTTTCAAAGTGTCCTGGATCATTTAAAATATGTTAATCTTGATATTTTGTCACTTTATTACAATATTAAATAATTCCAAGTCTTGAGTAGTAGAAATAAAATTTCATAGATTGTCAGGTTGTCTTTCAGAAAATGCTTCATATTTCCATCTGGAAATGAAAATGATTTAGTATAACTGAATATTTAGAATATTAGCTCTCTGTTTGGAGCTATTCATAACCCTTTAGTATTAAACATATCCACTTGGGTATTTAATAATGCAAAAATATAACTTATTTACCTCACTCAAAATATGTCATAATCGAAATGTAAAACAGGATTAAATTGTGTATGTCTATTGCTTTTGAAAAATACAGGGTTTTTTTTCTCCCACTTTTTTTAAGGGAGAAAGGGTTTATTTTTGCTCACAGTTCCATATTATTATCTGTCATACTGGAGAAGTTAAGCAGCAGGAACTTGAGGGAGCTGATCATATCACACATGCAACCAGAACAGAGAACAAGGAGTGAATGCATGCTCATAATTTCTCCACTAATACATTCCAGGGTCCTCTCCTTAGGAAATGGTATCCCCACCCACAATTAAGATGGAATATCTACATCAACACAATATTAACCTAATCAACACAGTCCCCCAAGGATCCCAGAGACCATCTTCCTGGTGATCCTATTCTGTCAAGTTGAGAACTAGTACTAACCATCACAGTATGGCATTCCACAAAGGTTGGCGATGTAAGATTGTTATACCTGTGCTGCTTTATGATGTACAGAGTTCTCATGGAGAGCTTGTAGGTGTTGTTATTATCCTCATTTTACAACTGACAGAATATGAAATGCTAAGAAGTTTATGTGATTTTCATAGTGTCATAATTGTTATGAGTGACTATGTTTGGTAGAGTTGAAAAATGCTTCCAGAATCCAATCAGATGATGGTTTTCAGCATAATACATTATTGTAGTGTTATGGTTGGCAGACCTAGAAGTGTCAGTCTCTCCAAATCTGATTTTATGTACAGGCATAGAGTATTTCCTCGATTCTAAATTACCCATGAAATTGTTCTAAAAGTATTTGCAACAGTGGGTATAGATGGTCTGTAAGAGTATTTTAAAACTTTCCAGATCTGTTCAGTGATCCAGAAAGGTATTTTAAGAACACACATCCCAGCCCCTAAGAGCATACAATATTCTTATTTATATGGAAAACTAAGACTAAGGCTGATAATGAGCATTTTAATTGCTCATGAGGTAGCTGGAATTATCTACTAGAAATATCTTCTGGAGTAAAAAAGTGTCATTATTTTCCTCATGTCACCATCATTTTTCAATGTAAATTTTATATTACATTATATATAATTTTTAAATTATTTTTGAGATTATAATTACATCATTTTTACCCTTCCCTTTCATCCCTCCAAAACCTCCCATATACCCCTCCTTGCTCTCTTTGAAATTCATGACTTCTTAGCCCATTTGTTGTTGCATACATATATTTATTCCTAAAGACTTAAATACAACCTGCTCAGTCTGTATAATGTTGCTTCTGTATGTGTTTTCGGAACTGACCATTTGATAATTGGATGACCAGTTGGTGTTCTCTCCCTTGGGGAAGACTATTTCTCCTGCTCTCAGCATTCCTTAGTTGACTGCAGTTTTTGGGTTTTGTTTTTGTTTGTTCGTTCATTTGTTTGTTCGTTCGTTTTTTGGTGTGTGTGTAGGGCTGAGTTCACCTGAGCTTTCCCCCTTACATGTGGGCATGTTTACTGGTGTCATCCTTGTTCAGCTCATGTTTAGGCAGGCATATTGGTGAGACTTTATGGGTGTAACTTCTTACATTTCTAGAAGACACAGTCCCATAGCAATCTGTTATCCTAGCTCTTAAATTTTTTCTGGCCCCTCTTCCACAATGATCCCCAAGCCTTCGGTATAGGAGTTGTGCTGTAGATGTATCTGTTGGGACTGGGCTCTACACTCTGCATCTTGATTGGTTGTGGTTTTCTGTAATGGTCTCCATCTGTTGCAGAGAGATGTTTCCTTGATTGGGGTGGGAATTAAACTTATCAGTGTGTATAAGGACAAATATTTAGGATGCAGTTAAGGTTTATGCTGGCTTAGTAAAGTGATGGTTATAGGCTCTCTCTAAGGTCCTTGATATCACTCTCGCTAGGTAGCTGGCTAGGTTTCCAGTACCAGGCATGATTTCCCTCCTGTTGAGCAAGTCCACTAGAGAGCTGTTGGTTTATATTGCCAAGATTGCCACTATTGCACCCTTAAGGGTTATCTTGTCATGATGGTCTTTGTTGTGGCTAATGGGCATTACAGCTGGGTAGGTCTATTGGTTATTTCCCTTCCTTGGAAGCTTTCATGGTGCTCTTTAGTACCATGAAAGTTAATCTTCAGAGAAGAGGCTTTCAGGTTAGTTCCAGCTCAGAGACCTCTAGGTTCAGTGTCTGAAGAACATCTTCTGAACTAGGGATTCACCTTCCACCTCTGAGGGGTAACCAAGGGAAATAGCAGTAGCCCATGATGTTTTCACAGTCTCTTGAACAACCCTGACTGACAACTCAAAATAGGGCTTTACATCCCTGGTGTTAGGGATTTTGTTAAATGGTCTTTGGCTCTTGGAGGGAGCATTGTCAGTCCAGATGGAAAATTTTCATTTCACTGACTTATATGTATTATAGTTATTTATATAGTAGATAATTAATAGTGTGATCCTTATGACCTTTTCAGACATCCTTACTGTTACTTTACCCCCTCCTTCTGTATTTTTCTCCTAATTGCTCCATAATTAAAGAACCCCCCCTCCCATTTTTCTCATTTCCTCTTCAGGTCACTTGTACTCTACTTTTTCCCTCTCTATGGTCCTCCCAGACATTCCCCCAACCCTTTTCATGGTCCCTTTTACTTTCCTGGTTTTTGTAATTCCTCCAGGAAATGTACACACAGCTGAAGATTTGCAGCTAGGAGTCTCAGATTAGAGAGAACATACAACATTTGTCTTTCTGAGTCTGGCTTACCTTACTCTTTTGAGATGTTATTTTTTTCTTACAGCTGAATAATATTCTATAGTGTAGATGTACCACATTTTTGTTATCCATGTGTCAGTTGACATTTAGGTTGTTTCTATTTTCTAGCTGTTGTGAATAGAGCAGCCTTGCATGTGGCTGATCAAGTATCTGTGAAGAAGGATGGCAAGTCCAGTGGGCATATGCTAAGGTGTGGTATACATGGGTCCTATGGTAGGTTTATTTTTAGCTTTTTGAGAGTTTCCACACTGATTTCCAGTGTGGCTTCACCAGTTTGCTATCCCACCAATAGGAAAGGGGGTTCCCTTTACCCCACATCCCCTTCAGCATTTTTTTTTGCTGATTTTTGCCATTCTGATTGGGATTATATGAAACCTCATTGTTGATTTGATTGGAATTTCCCTAATTTCTAGGGGCTATGAACATTTTTAAAAGATATTTCCTAGCATTCCCCTTGTCTTTTGAAGACCTTCTGTTCAGGTTCCAGCCCCATTTTTGAATGGGTCATTTGGGTTTTTGTTTGTTTGTTTTTTGTTTTTGACTCGTAGTATTTTGAGTTATCTCTCTTCTCTCTCTTTATATGTGTGTGTGTGTGTATATTTATATGTATTGTGTATAGTTTTAAGTAAATATAAAATGATTCCTTGAAACCTTATCAAACAACCTTGGTGTTATTTGCCCCTTGACATTCTTTCTCCTTCTGTATAGAGCCCCCCCCCAATCTGGAGGCCTCTTCCTAGTTTTCCATTTTTCACTTCATATCAACTGTAATAACAATTTTAAACTTGGGATCCTATTGTATATTTCAGCAGCACAATGCAAAAGAAAAAGCTCTGACCCTTGCTGTCATTTTCTTAAGAGTAGGCCTGCTTTGTTCAGAAGAATTCTAATCTCCTCCGATCTGATCTCTCAAATAAAGGTCATCTTTTCTATTGAACAGCACACAAAATGTGGTATTGAAAAGGAATTATGAAATTTTGTCTAAATCAGTCTTTTACAAGGATCTCACAGGGAGGAAATTGTTTTGAGGCCCTATTTTACTCCATACAGTTAAACAAAGCAATAATAAAATATTATCAATCTATACCTACATGTTGCTTCAATATTTTTCTTTGGGAGGATACATTGTTTTAAACACATTGCTGTTTTTAGAAATGTTCTTAGATCTAGCCACCATACTTTATGAACATGTATCTTGGCCTGAGACAAGGGCATGGGTGGGTCACAAAAGAAAACTAGGGAATATGGTACACTAAAGCTGTGTATTCAGCTGAGTTTGTAAGGGTTTATAGCAATGTAAAGTCCAAAGTATATAAGATAGGTTACAATGTTTTTTGTAGAGGGCTGTTAATTCTGAACAGGTTGAGTACATAGTATATAAGTAGAATGAGCACATAGTTATAAATGATCTCACATCACATTAATAACTTGATTACAGGTTAGGTGAGAGTTTTACTTGTAAAGCTAAGCTTCAAACAGCATTTCTCAGAAAAACTGTTTCCATGTTTCACGTTAATTTGTGGAGTTTATGTGGAGTGAAAGGTAAAGTACTAAGAATATAGGAAACGAGTGAAATGTGAGTCATATCTTAATTTTGGAGAAGGCATAGACATTCATATACCAAACATTTCACAGTAAGTATTTTCAGACATTAATGTTTTAGAGGAAGAAGAAGGGTAGGAAATTTATTTATATATAGAAAAAAGTTGGTGTGTTCCACCCAAGGAGGAAAGCACAAGGAAAGATTACAAAGTGGAATTGGCTGCACAACCTTTGGTAAAGCAACACAAATGGTGTAGTTGATTTTTTTTTTTACTCTTTGGGAGCCCACCACCAAGCTCTCAAATAAAGACACAGAGACTTAATCTTTCTTATGAATGCCTGGCCTTAGCTTGGTTTGTTTCTAGCCAGCTTTTCTAACTTAAATTATTCCATTTCTCTTCTATGTTTTGCCTCTGGGCTATTTACCTTTTTGTTCTATATATATTTCTTTCCTTCTTACTCCATAGCTGGCTGTGTGGCTGGGTGCCTGGCCCCTGGCATCCTCTTTTCCTTCTTTTCTCACTCCTCCCTCTTCTTTTTCTTCTCTTATTCTCTCTGCCAGCCAGCCATGTCTATTTCTCTCCCCTACATAGCTTTTGTCTGTTCAGCTCTGTTAGACAATTAGGTGTTTTAGGCTAAGTAACACAGCTTTACAGAGTTAAACAAATGTAACATAAAAGAATGCAACACATCTTTACATCATTAAACAAATATTCCACAGCATAAACGAATGTAGCACATCTTCAACTAATATTCTACAACAAAATGCAAAACTTACATTTGGTGAATGCTGGATTTTAGGGCTAAATTAATAATATGAACCCAAATTCTGCAGGAGTATGAAGACAAATGAGATTAAATAAGACTTTATTCTGGATGTGCTTTAGAGCCAATGAAGATCATCTGAAAAGAAAAATCAAAATACAAATATAAGATTAATATGGTAAATATAAACAATGGATATTTGAAGGGGGCATGACAGGAAAATTATTTGGGACTCTATGAATTCCAGGATAAAATATTAGAATGCAATGGTGGTAGGAAGAGACAGATAAAGAAGAGACAGTTATTTCCAAAGTGAGGAAACAAATATAACTTGGTGATACTAATAGAGTGCTTAGAGTGGAAGCCTGAGTTCTTATTACCCCAAAAAACTATGCTCTGTCATTGGCTACCAATCCCTAATATTCCAATTAGAGACAAGTAGCAGTAAAAAACAGAGATTTATTTATTGTGTTCAGATTGGGAAGAGAACAGGAACAAATAAAGGGGTCCAGTGATGCCCCAAATCTGACATGAAGATACTGACATTGGCATTAGGATTAAAGATTTGTTTTGATTATTTTTAATTGTGTGTGTGTGTCTTATATGTATGTGAATACAGTGCCCTCAGAGGCCAGAGGCAACAGATCCCTTTGGAACTGGAGCTACAGGCTGTGGTGTAGCAACTAGAGGTAATAACTCAAAGAGCATATGTTGCACAAATCCTAAATGGTTTTATAATAAAAACCTGGAGCCAGATATTGGGGTAAATGCTGAAAGATCAGAGGGACAAAGGAACAAGCCACAGCCACTTCTCACCTTGCCAATTCCACAAATCCTGACTGAATGCCCCTGAGTCCTCAGTCAAAAGGCCCTTTAGTTCTTGTCTCCTCATGCCTTATATGCCTTTCTCTGCCCAGCCATTTCACTTCCTATCTCAACCTTCCTAGTACTGGGATCAATGGGGTGTGTGCTTCCCAAATCCTGGGGTTAAAGGTGTATGCCACCACTGCCTGGCTCTGTTTCTCTCCTAGACTGGATCAATCTCATGTAGCCCAGTGTGGCCTTGAACTCACAGAGATCCAGATGGATATTTGCCTCCCAAGTGCTAGGATTAAAGGTGTGTGCCACCACTGCCTGACCTCTATGTTTAACTCTGTGGCTAGCTCTGTCCTCTGATCTTCAGGCAAGCTTTATTTCTTAGATTATAAATATCACCACAAGCACAGACTGCAAAATAGAAAAGAGACAATGTTGCACAAATAAGTATCTACTGATAAAATTTTGTTTAATGATGAATTATCCCTTCTACACTTTACACAAAACAGTTCATTTCATTCTAGTTTTCTGCTGATATTTATTGGAAAGTAAAATATGTTGTCACTCTGCCTACAGAAAATCTTTTTTAAACATATTAAAATATTTAAAAAATATTTTAAACAAAGCAGACTGTAATTCCGGAAAATGCTAATACACTTTGAATCTTATAGTAATACTTCCTAAAACAGCAGCTTATTAAACAGCTGATAGTTATTCAGTTCTTCTTCTTTGTGTGGTATTCTATAATACAAATGTGCATTTCATTCATCCACTCATGTGAACTTTCTTTGAACACATGTATGACATATTCTGCCTTTACTCAAACATGACCTAGCCAGAAAGAAAAAAAAATAAAAAAGCACTGAAAAATGATAATCAGTTCTAAATGCTGATGTGTTAGACTACAAATTTAAATAAAATAGGACTTGTTATTTTCACAGAATAGACTGAAAATTTCAGTAAAGACTTTAGTGCACGGATTATGAAGAAACATTTCACGAAGTTATGAGTTTTAAATTTAATGTATATTGTAATAAAGAAAAATTACTCTAAATTTAAATTCAAATAATTGAGAGTAAAAGCAATAACTATAGTGCAACACTTTTGGAAGTAAGCTGTTATTATGCCTTATTTAAATTCATTTTATAACTGAATATTATATTATACCTGAAAGTGATCTTTAGAAGTCATATAAGATATATTATTTTCAAGTATGAAAATAATATCACATAAATGTATTTATGAGGTATTTATTTTCTAAAAACATTAAAAAAAACATTTTCTATTCTCAGACACAAAAGCAAATTTAAGTGTTCTGAAACAAAATACAAAACCAGAATTAGAGCTGGGCAGCAGTGGTGCACACCTTTAATCCCAGCACTCAGGAGGCAGAGGTAGGCGGATCTCTGTGAGTTTGAGGACAGCCTGGTCTACAGAGCGAGATCCAGGACAGGCACCAAAAACTACATGGAGAAACCCTGTCTCCAAAAACAAAACAAAACAAAAAAGCAAAATTAGAAAGTAATTATTTTATGTAGGTACACTAGATAGATGGAAGGGTATATAACTATACAAGGTATTGAACTGAGAACTAGAAATCTTAAAACTTTACCAGTTGTTAAGGATGGCGGTAATCATCAAGTGAGAATTTTAGGTTCTGGATATATTATTGGTAAACTATCATATTTTGAAAGAGAAATAAGTTACACTATAACAAAATAAAACTTTTAAAACACAAATAACAGTAGATTTTCAATATTTAAAACAATCATAAATGGTACTATAAAATAAAAAATAAACTCAGGCATTCACATTTTGAAATAAGTACAAGAAATGATTAGTACATTAACATTTGTCAGTCTTATAATATAGGCTGAAAATTGAAATAAAATGAAAATATTTCAACTCATACATCCATTCTTGGAATATAGGCATGAATAGATGACTAGAGAGTATCAGAATCTTCTTTATGAGGCCTTGGTTTTCATTCCTGTTTGCATGAACAATTCATAGATATAATTGCAGTATGAAAATCTAGTGTGCTACATGTGGAAGGAGGAAGATTGTCACATGTCTGTGGGAGAAAATCCTCCAAAATAGAGAACTGAAGTGAAAACTCTACATGCAGTGACACAGTAAATATAATAGTAATTCTTTCTAGAATATATACTGCCAAATAGAGGAGTGGTGTTGGCATTAGTTAATTAATTCTAAATTTAGCCCTTGGTATTTCCAAGTAGGTGCAACAGTTTCCCCCTTAAAACTGTCTTTTCATGTTTTATGGATCTATTATTTTTACTAACTATTGATAATATCAGATAGTAGGAATTAGATCAGATGTCATGGAACAAGCCAACATTTCTTATTGGGGCCTCATTTTTGAAAATACTGTTAATGACATCATGAAGTTTTCAGGCAAATGGATGGAACTAGAAAAAAATCATCCTGAGTGAGATAACCCAGATCCACAAAGGTAAATATGATATGTATTCACTTTATAAGGTGATATTAACCATTAAGTAAATAACAACCAAGCTACAATCCATAGACCCAGAGAGGTCAGGTAAAGATGAGGGCTTTATGGGGGGCATGGATCTCCTTGGAGTGGAGAAATAGAATAGATTTTACAGGTGGACATGGGGTGAGTAGAGATGAAAGCCTAGAGAATCAGTGGGATGGGGAGAGTGCAGGGAGAGATATCTGGAATTGGGACATTTCAGAGTAGTGTGGAAAGCTAGTGCAGTGAAAATTTCATGGAATCTATGAATGTAGGCCTAACGAGGACTCCTATTCACCCCTACATTATAGTCTCTTTGGTGAGGGAAGGTACTCTGCAGGCTACTGGAAAAAAAAAACAACAAAAAACAGAAAAACCTCAGTCACAAAACCTTTGACCTACAATCTGTCTTGCCTGCAAAATATGCTAGGGCAATGGTGGCATAGAACATGTGGGTGTAGCCAACCAAT